TCTTAAAATGATTTAACAAACGCCTGTTTGAGACTCCTCAGTGCACACAAAAACATAACTTGGAGAAATAAATAAATACGGAAATGTTATTGATCACCCCTCGATTATGTTCTCTTGTTAGGAAAAAACAGAACGATATAATTACTTTAAACTGACGCTGTTTTGCATTTTTATAGGTTGTATAGATACGAGCATGGTTTTATATACTATCATGTTTAATCGTGTTTTATGCCGTTTGCCAAGACTTGATAAGTCGCTCGTAAAACACAGGAGGTATGGAAACTAAGAACACCAGATGTGGTAAATTGTACAGCTGATATAACACAACACATTAGTTGTATTTCCTTTAACTGGTGGATTATGGATATATAGTTGCTGATCAAAAGCTGGAACACAAACCACCAAATACAAAAACATAATTCAGATCCAGTCGTCATGACTCCACTCCGGAGGGATTCCCCGATCATTTCTTACAGTTTCTCATCAAGGGGGGGTCTCCTGTCCCCGGTACAAACACACTGCCTGAGGAAGGCTTGTATTTTTTTTGTCATTAACCTTTTTCGGACCACTTATTTATTTTGGTGACGATCCGACCTCCATGCTGCTACTCTGGTTCAAACTGCATCCACCAAACAATATCATTTATCTCGACCTCCCCAAAATAACCAAAATCTGACACGGTGTGAGATGTTTTTTTTAGCTGTTCTGTCGTCATTTCCTGCGATCTTCTCCATGCAGTCAGTCAAAATTAATGAATGAAAGGGCGTTTCTTTGACTATGTATAGGCAAATATGGGCGTTACGTGAAGCCCGCAAAAGCTGCACCGCATTTCGAGTCGGTTGTGATTTATAAAGGGAAACCGGCGTAGGAAGTGCCATACGCACTTTCCTCGCCGGTATGCAATGTTTGGTGAATCGGAAAGTGTCGGAAAATTTATGGACCTATTTTTCGGATTTCTACTACGTAAGCAACTTTCCCACGTCAATCCTACGCAAGACGTTATACATGAGGCCCCTGGTCCCAGTTGTGTACATCACTTTTTAGTAGCCCCTCGTTTCCGTCGTGTTTTGAGATTCTTGCAGCTTTTTTTATTCGCAACATTTAGTCTTTGCCGCGTTTTGTTTATATTGTGCTTTCAGTAAACCGTACGCATGTTTCATCAACTTGCCGTTTTTATAAATGCTGCACGTGTGTTGGTCAAGTTGGTAAGATGTTTCTGCATATGCATGTGTTTCGGCACATTTGTGTTTTTATATTTGCATCGTTTTTAAAACCGTAGCACATTTTTCCTAATGTAAGTGTTTTGGGCCGTAGTAGCGTGTTTGCCCCTGTCGGCCACCATAAAACAGGGCTTAATATGAAAGCATTACAACTTTTGTTACTGTGACACAGTTTGCCTGCCAGAATTTAAAACATTTTTTATCACTTTTATTGCCTCGGTTTTAACTGCTTTATACACAGAAGCTACATTTATCACTCCCCTTATTGCTTGGAAAATAATAACGTTAACGAAGATATAATTGACTTATGTGCAGCACTCAAACACACCTTGGAGCGCTCACACACACACACACACACACACACACACACACACACACACACACACACACACACACACACACACCAACAGATCTCCATAAACCACATGTACTGTCAATGCAGGGAACCCATAGGAAACCAATGGATACAGTACAGCTGCACTTATACAGTTCACAGTAAAACTGAACACAAATACACACACATGAGGACACACACCTCCTCATCTAATGGCAGTGTTTCCATGGTGAATCTGCTGGTGTGACATCTTCTCCCTCCTATGTGGTGAGGGTTGCCATGGAGATGCTCTGCTCTGACAGTATTGTTTGTGTGTGTTTGCTTTCCTTTCTCTTCTAAATGTATCCGATGTGTGCTGGTACATTTGTGTGCAAACTTTTGAAAATGTTACGTTCTTTTCTGGGTCAATGTATTTTTATTTGTGGAGCTTTTGTGTAAGCTTATATTTGTGTGTGTCTCCGTATGTGTGTGTGTGTGTGTGTGTTCCTTGTATGTCCTAGTTGGACCGATTCAAGGAGCCCCCGGCGTTTGGGCCCATGTGCGACCTGCTGTGGGCCGACCCCCTGGAAGACTTTGGCAACGAGAAGACCCAGGAGTACTTTGGCCACAACACAGTGAGAGGCTGCTCCTATTTCTACAGGTACAGGACACAATTACTCCTCACAAGGACCAACAAAAGGAAACGTGTCATAAGAGTTTAGAGAATGGATCCCTGTGCTTGTAAAACTCAGAGATGGGAACGAATCTGATAGCCAAACAAGCCAGAATGAATGCAACATCTATTGAAATTAGCAGCTGGAACGTGCAGCCAGAAGTAAGACTGATCCTCGAATGTGCTCATGCTGGCTCATTCAATTCTTTTAATGATCTGGGCACCTTTTGTTTGCATTAGCGTTGTGTGACTTTCTTTTATCATTTATTTGTATTGATCAGAGGATTTACATAAGACAATTACAAATACTAAGAACTCACACCTGATTTGCCATTTTTACTTTGATCAATATATATTAGTTGGCGTTTCTTCAACATGCCTATAGCTTCCTGTGAAGCCAGGTCAAATGCTGGAAGATTTCATACGAAGAGGCAAACCACAAATTTGCAAGAAATGTCAACAGGTTAAAAGGAATCAAAGAATAACTACAATATATTTCAAACTAAAATCTAGTACTAACAGACAACATTTGTTTAGATTTACGATCAATCTCAGCTCTGCGTCTTTTCTTTCAACAAACTTGATGTTACTCACAGACATGGTATTTCTTAATGACTTTAAAGAGACATTTGCATATGAATGCAGAATCTGTAAATAATGGGATCAGAACAAATTAAATATAGTGAGTGAGCTTATATGAAAGAAACCAGCAAGCACAAATATAAAAAAAAGTCCAGGTTCAAAAACTCATCAAGACATCTCTGTTATCTACAGGAGTAGTTTACTTTTTGTTTACACTTTGATCAATTGGATCATGAAAAATTATAATGACACTGGAAATATATAAAAAAAACACTTTAGCAGGTATAAAAATAACATTTTCAAGTAAAAATACAGCAGGATCCTCCCTGTTGGCATCAGTTGTTGCTGGGAGATGTGGACCTAATAAGTTTGATGGACTTCAGTGTATTGCTGTGTGATGTTGATGAGAAAAGAGACGGTAACTCCACAGATCCAATAACAATCACTGGGATGTGAACAAGAGACAGGAGATCTCTGCCATTTTTTTTTTTGGGTTTCATGAAACGATATCCCATAATCCCCAGGGAGACTGCACAGTTCTGTTGCTATGACGACTGGCTACTACTGCCAGATATGGAGTGATATTAAGATACAGTGAGAGGAAGAGGGAGAGTAACACAGAAAGGGTGGAGGTGGTGGTGGTAGTGGAGAAAGATGAAAGATGGAAATAAATAAATAAAAATGGAGGAATGCAAAGACGCAGAGCTGAGAGCAGTTGGAAGTGTTGATGTGCAGAGTGTTTGAGAGTGTGTGCGAGACTGAGTGTTATGACATGTTGTCTGTCAGTGGTTTTCTATGTTTAGCAGACACAGCATCAATTGACCGACTCCTGTACACTCTGCCCCCCCAGCACCCAGGGGCCATGAGCTCAGGCCTGCCTCGTGCTCTGATGCCCCCTGCTGCTCACACTTAGACATGACCTTAGCATGCAAGAGGCCCACTCATCTCCCACTGCTGAACTTTAAATACTTCCATCTGTTTAGTGGTTTACCCCAGTGTTCATATATTAACACATGACATTTTGGCTGTGTAAGGTGATTTTTACTAGATATTTGTATGTATATCTCGCTCTGTGAATTGATTGAGATTCACTTTATCAGTATTGAAGTGCACAGTAGATGTTTTTTTGTGCTTTGTTGTAGAAAATTGTGTGAGAAGTGCGAGACAGAAAAAATTACACACTGCAAAGGGTCCCAGGCTGGAGCAAGCGTAATGGTGTAAATGGGCTGCAAGTTCTACCAAGTGAACTATACGGAGGTCGGAGGCCCTAGACGTATATTTTTTATATCTTGAGATGGATAAATACGTTCTGTCAAAATATTGCAAACTTGTTTTCCGTATTTTTACTTCCGTACATATTTTGCAAAGGCTGAACATTACCAATGTCCAACTATCCCTTAGCAAATGTGCCATTAAAAATGACTTCTTGTTTCTCTGCTACTTTTTACTTCTAGGTCACTAGATCTCAATGGGCAAGGGTTTACTTTTTACTCCACTACTTACGGCAGCCGACAAGTGCCAAAGTGCTACAACGTTCCAAAACCCTTCCATTTGTAATATTTTTGAAACGGCAGCTTGTTTCTCCTAAAGGAAGTGTTTTGGGCGCATTGTCACGTGCGTTGTCATGCCAATAACCAATAAATCATGATTATAATAATATGTTTGTAAATGGGCTATTCATTATAACAAGTACTTTCACTTTTGGTATTTTGAGTAATGTTGAGGCTAAGACTTGTATGCTTTCACTTAAATAAGGTTTTAAATAGGACTTTAACTGTACTGCAGTATTTCTAACCTGACTCTAAGCTAAAGACCTGTGTACTTCTTCCACCTTCACTCCACTTCAGATGCTCTTATTTGCTCTCACTTTCTCTCTCTGTGTCTCGTTCTGTCCACAGTTACCCGGCAGTGTGTGAGTTCCTACAGACCAACAACCTGCTGTCAATCATCAGAGCGCATGAAGCACAGGATGCTGGGTAAGCTGACGGACTGTCAGTCCTTTCCTTGGCTTAAAAGAGAGCACCACTTAATTTAAAGGGCTTACCTTGACATTTCATGTTCCTAGGTGTTACTGCTTGGCACTTTAAACTTAAATTCACCCTTAAAATGTGTCATTAGCATTTTTAGAGTATGTATGAAGGAGAGCACCACATGAACAGCTCACAGAAACAGAATGTAAGGTTTGCCCCACAGGTGTAAATGAAGCACACTGACCCACAGATCTAAGCCTATCACTTTTAGACAACTGAATGACTTCATACAATGAAATGAGCAGCCGTGTAGAGACACAACTAAATCCAAGCAAGTACATTATGTGTTCCCACAGAAAAAGTGACAAAACAAAGTGTACACTTGTAACAGTATGCATACTAATAACACTTCTCGCTTCTTGTGGACAAAGAAACGCCTCAGACAACGAGATGACACAATGACTTTCCTGCAGACGTTGGTGTCTCTCTGTGAGATTCATTTACCTGTAACATAATATACATACTGGATCACAGCCAAAGAAAAATGTCAATTCTATGCAGGCAGCCAATCAGGAGACTGGTTGATTTAGAGCAATTACTTTGTCTTGATTTGATTGGTTCATCAGACACAGTGTACAGTGGCCTGCTGTGGACAAATGTTGTGAGTGGAATTAAGATCTAAATTAGAACAAGCCATGTGCTTATGACATTAATTAGGTTTCCATATAAAAAAATAACAGTATAAGCCCTTATTCCAAAATAAATATTACTGCTTTAAAGCTGTTTGGATGGATAATGCATACAATTCCATATTTCATTTTAAGTGTTGAGTATGTCCAGAGAACTCCTCAATATTGTCACATTTTTTGAATAATTGTGTAATAATTGTGTGCATTTTAGGGTAGTCACGGATTGATTATTGTAATTTGTTTAAATACCGGTTAAACAGAATTAACATCTTTATCAAGACCAAGTAGGACACTGAAACACCATAATAAAAGGCAATAGGTAAATTGCTATAATAAAAGATCTGCTTCCAGCTACTTTGTATTTGTGTATAATAACCAACATTCTTGATTACTGATGAGTTTGGTAATTAGATTGGCCTCAAGGGAGGAAGCCTGTGTGCTTTGTTTGTGGGTACAAATCAAATATGAGCTTCTTTGTATGCATACAAAGTATGTGAACCCACACTTTTTTTTTTTAGATATGACTAAGTCACTATATCTGGGCCTAATTGAAAATGTCTGCTTTGAGCTGTAAGCTTCACTGACTGTCCCTCAGCTTTGCTTTACCCTGTCATTTTGCCCACCCAGCTTTCCTTCATTTAGTTTTAAATGCGTGGCTGTCTCGCCGTAAACCAGTCTCTGTCTGGTCTGAAGCGAATCCTCAGTTTTTTTATCCTCAGCAACATGTTTATTTTATTTCAGCAGCTATAACGTGGGCGGTGTGTTTGTCTCTCTGTCCTTAGGTATCGTATGTACAGGAAGAGTCAGACTACAGGTTTCCCCGCTCTCATCACAATCTTCTCTGCTCCAAACTACCTGGATGTCTACAACAACAAAGGTCTGACACGCATATGCACAAATACACACACAGAAACTGAAGCGGAACAATTATTTTAGACTCAACAGAGTGTTAGTCTGCATCCAATTAACTATTAAAAACGTCTGTTGGGGAGCTTGAAGGAAAATATTTGTGTGTGTGTGTGTGTGTGTGTGTGTGTGTGTGTGTGTGTGTGTGTGTGTGTGTGTGTGTGTGTGTGTGTGTGTGTGTGTGTGTGTGTGTGTGTGTGTGTGTGTGTGTGTGTGTGTGTGTGTGTGTGTCTAGCGGCGGTGCTGAAGTATGAGAACAACGTGATGAATATCCGTCAGTTCAACTGCTCTCCTCACCCCTACTGGCTGCCCAACTTCATGGACGTCTTCACCTGGTCGCTGCCTTTCGTGGGAGAGAAGGGTATCACAAGCACGCACATATTCCTTATTTAGACTTTTCCACATACAGTGCGCTATTATTAAAACATCATACGGTCAGTGATTTACTTTAAAGCAACATTACTTATGGTTTGGAGAATCCAGTCGTTCACTAAGGTTAGGCCTGTTTTGCCTGTACATTGGCCTTTAAACCTAACACACAAAAATGAAGGATTTAAATATTTAGCTTATTTAAAATTTAAACTAATGGATTTCTTGCTCTTATTAATTCATCTCTTTATAGTTAATTGCACAGTTAAAGTAAAAAAAAAAGGTTGAAGGATTTCTATAAAGGCTTAGTTTTAATGGCATGTTTATGTACTATGGTTCTAGTACCACCATAATATTCTCTAAAAATAGCAATTATATCAGCTTAAAATGGTGTACAACCCCTACTTATAGGATTAGGGGGTCTTGGGCAACCAGATTTGAGGAATTTTAAGTTTTTATAGACTGTAGAGAAATGACAGGAAATGAGGGGAGAGGGAGACAGATAGGGAATGCTACATCTCATGACACCTATGCCAACAGCTTGCAACTACAGTATGCAGTGGTAAAGTGTGTGTGTGTTTCTCTTTGTGTGTGTCCTGCAGTGACTGAAATGCTGGTCAACGTCCTAAGTATCTGCTCCGATGACGAACTCATGAACGACGGAGAGGAGATCTTCGATGGTAAGAAACACTGACATTAAAGCAAAGTGATTCAAACCAGTCAGTGTGAAAAAAAACATAACTAAAACATATTTCGCGAATTGCAAATATATTTTGGGAATTTTTCTTTTGTGATGGAAAAATGATCTTAATGAGTTGGTTTTTGACTCTTTGCAGCCAGTGCAGCAGCAGCCAGGAAAGAGGTGATCAAAAACAAGATCCGAGCCATCGGGAAGATGGCTAAAATGTTCTCTGTTCTACGGTGGGTTGAGCTCTGCCTGTTCTTACTGTATGTGTTGCAGGGGGTGGGGGGAAGCATTTAGATCCTTTCCTAAAGTTAAAGGTTCAGTAACTGGACTCGAGTGGTGAAATCAAATTAGGTGACGCTTATCTCAAACTAATGTTTTATGATTATTTTTATTGTGGATTAATCTGCTGATCGTTTTCTACATTCATGTATTGGTTGTTTGGTTTGCTCTGTTCGGAAAATATTGAGAAAAATAGGTAAAAAAAAAAAAATAGCAGCAAATCTTCCCATTTAAGAACTTGAAATGTAAGTTTCATATTTAAATTATTATTATTTTTTTTTTTAAAACGACTCTTATTAGTCAACTATTAATATGTTTTGTGCAATATTTTAATTTGGAAAGTAATTTAAAGGGGCCCTATTGTGCTTTTTGGGGTTTTCCCATTCCTGTAGTGTGTCATAAAGGTTTTGTGCTTGTAAATTGTGTGCAAAGACGTAAATACCATAGTTACTCAGTCAGATCAATGTAGTCCATTACACATTTCCCCCTGAGATGTATTGGAGTATAAATACAAGGTGGCATGAAAAGAAAAGGGACTGAAGTTCAGTATATGTCATTTAAAATTGTATTTAATTTCAGTACTTGAGTAAATGTGCTCAGTTGCAACCCACACGTGTGTGTGTGTGTGTGTGTGTGTGTGTGTGTGTGTGTGTGTGTGTGTGTGCGTGTGTGTGTGTGTGTGTGTGTGTGTGTGTGTGAATTGTTACAGCAGAAAAGAGCCAAAGACAGCTTAATGTTACCTAAATCCTGTACTTCCCATAACTTTTTTAATCAAAATTCCCCAGATTGTAACTATAAATATTCAGCGGTTTAACCCACAAGCATGTGTGTTTGCAGGTGCACAATGAGGGGAAGTGTGTAATGCTGTAATCCTGTAAATGTCTCTTTCTATCCACACACACACACACACACACACACACACACACACACACACACACACACACACACCTGCACCACACTCACACCCTGTGTCTGTCTGCCTCTCAGGGAGGAGAGTGAGAACGTGTTGACCCTGAAGGGACTGACTCCTACAGGCATGCTGCCCAGCGGCGTGCTCTCTGGGGGAAAACAAACCCTGCAGAGCGGTAAGTGTTTAAAACACACAGACACACACATTCAACCCTGGATCCAGCTTAAAAAACAGAAAACACACACAATTACACACACAAACAGTTCAAATGTCTACCCTGGACAATTCTCTGCTGCTCTCCTCTCATCCTTCTGTCTCACTAACTCGCTCACTCTCTGCACCTCACCTCACCGGCGCTGAAGATGCTAACAGCCTGCTGGGTGTGTGTGTGGGAATAAAAGATAGAAAGAAATGAGAGACAGGCAAAGTATGTGTGAGCTAACACCAGCTATTGCTAACACCAGGTGCCTCTGACAGGCCCCGCCTCACACAAGCCGGAAATGAGTTGCTTATATGCCTATGCCAACACAGATTGCACCAACATGAATCAATAGGGAACTAGGTTCAATTGATGATCAGTTGTACATAAAAAAATACGGATAGATTTCTACTTTATTCTCAGAATCAGAAGCAGAAATGTTGTATTTGTCCAACAGCAGGGCCATTAGCAAAGGGTGTTGACCGTAAACAGATAACAAGGCAAAGTTAAATAAATAGTTAACATATTGCCCACAAGCACACATTAATACAATACAAAATGTAATATGTAATCATATCCAAAGTTAAGAAATTAGTGGCAGCATTATCAAAGTAAATCAACACACACAAGTAGTGAAGTAGCAGCCAGTAATACCATTTACAAATTGTATTTAAATAATTAATAATCTAATATTCATCAGGTTTTTTCTGAATATTACTCCCCTTCTGTTTCCCTACTATGTTGCTTTTAACAAACCACTATTTTGCCTTCGATTCAAAGCAGTTACTCGCAAGCTAAACAGTACATGTCGGGAGGAAGAGAGGGCGAGGCAAAATAATGTACCTTTCCTCAAAAAGGAGAAGTTATACTTTAACTATCTTTGATATATCACTCGAATGACACTTTAATCATCTGCTTGATTCAAGTCTTGTTGTCTAGTGTTTGACGAACCAAAGTAGCCAGTGTTTTTTTGACAACCTTTACCTGATGTTTTAAAGGCCACACACAGCCATGTGACATGATTGCATTTACACGCAACTGCAAAAGAAGCATGTTTCAGCCTTCACTCCTCTCTTCTTCTTCTTCCTCTTCGTCTCTTCTTTCTTTGGTCTTCTCTCTTGCCTCTGCCATCTTCTCTCTATCGTTCTTTCTTTCTCTTCTCTTCTCCTCGCCCATCCTTCAGCTACCATTGAGGCCATTGAAGCCATCGAGACAGTTAAGGACGCTGAAGGTAAAATCCCATTCATTTCAATCTGAGTGTGTGTAAGTTGTGTGTGCGTACATGTGTGAAGCATGGCTGCGCTCTCAGCCATCCATGTTCATGAGGTCATAGATCTTTCTTACCCATGATGCACTTAACTCTTCCACCCACATCCCAACAAAGCCTTAAAACATCGCACGCCAAAGCCACAACATTACAAAGCATCCACATACTCTTCTCATGCTACACACACACACACACACACACACACACACACACACACACACACACACACACACACACACACACACACACACACACACACATGTATTCACATATTCAATACACATCACACCCAACTTTTTCTTACACTAACACACAAGAAGAGTGGGGCTGTGGGGGGGAGTGGGTGTGTGTGAAGGTCATCTGTTATAGTCTTCAGTGTGTTACAGTCTTTTCTTTATATTTTAAAGGTTCTGTATTTCTATAACATATTAACTTGGATTCAATCTGTTTCTCTGAATAAGAGTCACCTGTAATGATGAAAATAATTAAGGCAAAGTGTTAAAGGGATAGTTCACCGCAAAATCTAACACACGTTAGCTAAACCATTTTCTGTTAATTTTTGGTTTGGTCAGCAACAGCAATGTCTCTCACCACAAATCACGACCCAGTAATAAGATCAAGATAATCTACAGACCTTGTTTCGAGTAGTTTCATGAAGGCAGTATTTTCTTTCTACTCAATTACACCCTAAAACCGAATGTCTGTGCAGAATAAAGTGTACTCATAGAAGAAAAGGCTCATGCTCATTGGTTGGCTGGTATAAAGAAATAAGTTCCTATGAAATGGGATAGAGTGGTGCGGTGATGGCGTACTTTTGTAGGCCGACCCGAAATGTTGCATCGCAAAGGTTTCCTCGATAAAAAGCAACAATATTTTCCCATTGGATTTTGGTGTATTGCAGAAAATAAGAAACACACATTTATGATATTTAACACGTTTTGTTCAGCAGGATTATCTCTACAAAATAACGCCACTTTTTTTAAGAGTAAATGCAATCGGCAAGTAAAAAGCTAACTCTAGGCTATAATCAAGCTACATCACGGTCTCATGGCTGCGCATCATCACTGCTAAGCTAAAGGCGGATGTGTCAACTTTTAGTAGTCTCTTTTAGTCACTTGTTAGCATCTGCTGTTTTTATGAAATATAGAAGCTTCAGGCATTCACAAGCGGGGTATTTACTGACTTATTTTATGTCGGAGAACAAAACATAAACCTTTTAGACTTATCTTAAAATTGGACCTTCTAAATTCTAAACATTTGAGACGAGGAAACCGGAAGTGGTAAAATGCTAAGTTGTTTCCGGATTTTAGGACTCGCTTCTGCAATTCTCTATTATCAAGAGGAATAAGTCATGATTTATGGAAAGAGACATTGCCGTTGCTGCACAAGCGAAGTGCCTTATAGTTCCATTATAACAGAGAGAAGGAAGACATCTCCATGATATCTCAAACACACTACAGATCTGAACAAAACTATCTATAGATATAAAAAAAAAAGACAGGTAAAAATGTAAACATATTTATTTTTGATACTGAGGGATTTTAAGGAAACATTTCAAAACCAGTTTTAAAACCAGTCCTTTAAACTTTACCTGTGGTAACAACTCAGCTTTTCAATGGGCTTCGACAATATCCAATGGCTTACTTAGACAAATGATCACATGACCTGAGTTAGTCAGGTGATAACAGGTTTTGTACGTAGCTCCGTAGACCTTTAACAGGTCAGCCGGGTTCTTTTGTGAACAGATCCTGATTATGGTATATGTGTTCAGTGTATTATAACTATATGTACTCTGCACACAAGAGTTGTTAGTACCCTGCATGCATTTGTTAACCAAAGCGTTTCGTGCTCTCTGGAACTACACCTCATAATTTGTTTAAGCAAATCAATTGCATGACACTTTTATGGTGCTTTATATTTACTTTAATTTGATTAAATGTGGGTCTCATTTAAAGGGGCTCTCCAGTTATTTATCATTAGCCTACTATCAATTTGAGGAAGGAAAAGAGAAAGTTAAAACTAAAGTACTAGAGCTGGAGATATTCAGACTTTAAATCCATCCTTTGGGTCCAGCTCCAAAATAGAGTTGGGAAACCACAACTTTGTATTTGTGTCTAAATGGATCAAACAAAGCTCATGCTAAGTGTTCATTTGTGTGCCTCAGTAGTGCTTGTAGGCAGACTATAGGCCAGGCTTCCGATCTTGGGGCTAAGCTAATGGCCTGGTAAGCTAACCGTATCAATCTCTTCATCCAAGGCTATTTGTTTTTTATTGTTCGCCAATCCAATATAAACTTGATATTTTTAAGAGCCAGCCCAAAAACTGTCAAACTCTATTTAGTTTTGTTCTGACTACTGATCCAAGGGTCAGTGGCCAAGTCGCTTTGAATGTCACCTTCCCTGAGAGCCATGAGGTCAAACTAATCCTAGCTCAGCATTCAGACCCTAGATGAACACATGTCGGTGTGTGTAGAAATCTGTGTAAGAACTCTGTAGATGTGCGTTTATATGAGACAACCTTGTTCATCCAAACCCATCATGCCCCTTTACTTATGGAGCACAATCAGCATCAAAACTATTAAAATGTCCTTGCTGGTGTGCTCCAGTGAAAGTGAATTCAACCATACTGAATGGAAATGTTTGCACATAAATGAATAAACTGTGGTTTGGAGTCTTCCATTCAATTTGGTGCTCTGAATATTTCCCTGAAAGGTCCCAGGGGTTTGGATACACAAGATTCTACTTAACGTCTTGTTGAAAAATTAACTCTATGTGCATGAATGTATGTGTGTGTGTGTCTGCGTGTGTGTGCCTGTGTCTCCGCAGCCATCCGAGGCTTCTCTCCGCAGCACCGGATCAGAAGCTTCGAGGAGGCCAAAGGTCTGGATCGGATCAACGAGAGGATGCCTCCGCGCCGCGAAGCCGTCAACAGCGTGGGGCTGTCGATGGGTCGCTTGAACATTGGAGAGCCCAACGGGACCGACAGCAACAGCAATATACAGTGATGGACACACTCTCCCACAGACACACACCTGCAGATACAACACCTCTGATATGGTACCCAATTTACAGATATGTGTACATAAGCATATATAAAAAAGCACCACACACACACACACAGTATACCATATAGGCTACAGATAACACACACACACACGATTAACTACCCCATTCCCGTTGCCCTCAGCTGTATCTAAAGGCATGGTTGACCCGGACTTTACCACCAAAAGGCTGAGTCTCTTCACCGGACTGATCGGCCCTATTTAAAGAACTACAACTCCCATGTACCTGCACAACAACAACGGAAGGAACTACAAAAACTCTCCCTGTGCAGAACAGGAGCAGCTGCTGTGCACCGTGTACGTTGGTGACCACTGACGGATCGACAGTGTCAGCATGACGTAGCTGTGTGTTGTGTCAGGAGTGTTTCCACGCGGAGGAGGGGGCGCTTATGGCGCATTTCCACTACAGTGCGGAGCGCGGTTTAAGCGTGCCGTGCCGTGCTGTGCCCGGCCCGTTTTTGGTTGCGTTTCCACTAGGCGTAGTTCCGGCTAGTGGGTACTTTTTCACAGTTTTTCTGGCTCTCCAAAATCGAGGTTCTTTCCGGGCCAACAACCGGGCTGAGTATCGCTGGCAACTACAACAAAATGAACATATTTGACCGTGATTTAGTTGTAATACACGTTTCAAAATGATGCCGAAGTAACAACATACTGATACCGGATAGTAAAAGCCATGAATTAATGCTTTGACAAGCCTGCAGAAAGACGGCAGGCGAAAAACCTTTTAAAATGCGTGTTTCCTGAATGGAGATCGGCTAAACTAACGCAGTATATGCTCCGACCGTCCACACTCACAACAACGGCCTATACAGACATAAATAAACCAGTGACTGTATTCACCATGACACAGACAGTCTGTGGTTTGTACTTGTTTAACTTTTGTCTAGTTTCTGAACAGATATGAGGAGCTGTGGCTCTGAGTGCTAACAGCTAACGGCTGATGTTGGTTTTGTGTTTCGCATTGAAGATGACGTCACGGCTCCGCCTACACTGCGTTACTATAGTTACAACCCCAGTTCCTAAACTGTAATGGAAACGCAGCATAAAGTGAGCCTGGCCTAACAAGGCCTAGTCATACCGTACTAAGCTGAGCGAGGCCCTGCAGTGGAAAAGCGTCATAAAAGATATGTATGTTTCTGTTTTCCTGTTTGCATCCCAAAACAGGAAGTGGAACCAAACTTACGATAGGTTGATTTTATAGAGTTGTGGAAAATCCTGCCTGCGTGCGTGCACATGCTTAAACATGTTAATGTCCGTGCGGTCATATTTGAAAAAGTGTGTCTCTGGTGCTGAGAGATGTGTGGAGAGGATCTCAGTAGCAGTTTAATCTGAGCCCTTAAACGTCCTTTTTTTCTTATCGGAGGAGATTCCCGTTTGCTTTTGTAGCACTACACCGTACCCTTCCACCCCACCCCAAAAAAACAACCTCTGGTCCCAGGCCAGTTCGGGAAAGGCTTGAAAACGGGTCTGGGATCAGATTTGAAGTATTTCTCCCCACCGGTTGCGTGTATATAGGTAACATGAAAAGGTTCTATTGCACATGTGAGTGATGCACAGTCACAAGACGCAAGATGCAGTATAGCGGACGTAGGATGCTTTATGTATGACCCGGGGGAGTTGAAATGTGAAGTCATTCTCTATTCATTCTCTTTCTACATCCTCCTTTCTTCCCGGGATCCTGTCTGCTAGGACGAGCAGGAAATCATATTTAACAGAGGAAAACAGACTCTTCTGGTTACAAGAAGCAGTCTGAAAAGGTCTTTGTAAAGCATTTATATTAACGCATCAGTGCATGCAGTTAAGTTCTTTGATAATAATGTGAAGATTATATTTGTGCTCTGTGTTTCACTATGGTAGGTTTTGTTTTTTTTGGCTAATATAAATGAACTGAGGAGTAATGAATAATTTATTTTGTACATAATGTTAATTTTGTATTAATTTTGCGTTCTTTTATTTTTTCACGACCTATGTTTCTTTTCTTTTTCGACACTGTACAGAATGACGGTACGCTTCTATTCAAAGTGTCAAGTCCACGTTCTCTCCTCTCTTCTTTGTCGGTGTACAGGAGTTGTTTTTACATTAAATATGAATAAACAAATATTAAACTAGCGATGATGAATGACCAACTATATACAGAGGCACAGGCATTCAGGCAGCCCAAAGCATGATGCATGGTTAAACGTTTTCGCTGTTTTCGAGCAAAAAAGCAGCAGGACACATTGGAACAGAAGAGCCGGTGTGTTGCCGTCACAATTGAAAGGAAAAAAAGTGTACTCTCAATCTCTGATCATGACTCTTGATGATTCCTCTTGTTATTTGATGATATTTATGATTATTATGATTCTATTTATTATGGACATTATTCTTAATATTTAAGCTCTCTCACTCTGCTGGTTGCTCTTCATGTTACGTTGCTCCTTGGTTGATCTTGTTGTGCTTCTTTGGGAGAGGTGAATCCTGTGCCATAGTTATTGTGCCACGGTACTTACTTTCTCTCTTTCTCTCTCTTCTCTTGCTCTTTTGACTCCCCAGTCACCAACACTGTAAGCATGCCCCATGGGACGATCCACTTTTTTACTCTTGAATAAAATATGCATGAACCTTCGGTATGGAGCCTTTATTTCATTGCCACTGCTCATACACACATTAATCCAAAGAAAATTATGAATACAAAAGCACTGACCAGATGATGGAATGGAATGTTTAAAGGGGCCCTATGATGCTAATTTTCAGGTTCATATTTCTATTTTGTTCCTCTACTTTGACATGTTTCCATGCTTTAATGTTCAAAATGTCTTCATTTGTATTTACGGCCTGTGCTGCAGCACCTCTTTTCACCCTCTGTCTGAAACCAGAGCACTGTCTGCTCTGATTGGTTAGCTGGCCAGCTCTGTTATGATTAGTTAACCACTTAGAGATGTCCTGTCCCTTAGCCTATCCCGTACAATGTGTTGAAGCGTGAGTGTTACACAGTGATGTCATTATGTCACAGAAGTAAACAAAAGAGTCCAATGGAGGCGTTTCAGGCAGGGGGGGTGCATGTAAATGGGGGTGCATCTAACTTCCATGTACATGCCTTGCAGGCCATTAACATGCACAGAAACCTATATCACACTACAGGAAAGGGAAAACCCCCAAAAGCATAGTAGGTACATTTTGAGCAAAGCCATTCAAGCCGAATAGTTTCCTAATCACAGAGAAACAGGTTTACAGGATGTCTCAGTTTCATAATGAGATAACGTGTATTGTGAAACTTTTACAGATGTACCAAAAATAAATGTTTCAACACGCTTTAAAACAAATATCCACCACCATAATCTCATGCACCGCAAAAACTGACACACTGCATCAACTGAAATCTCTTAAATACTTTTTTTTAATCTCCCTGTACATTTTGGTGGAGAGTACAAATTTAGTTTTATTGTGTTTTATGTGATATTTGACCTTACATAGAAGCACTCGGGTTTAATCTGGAAACATAAAAATCCTGTTTAACAAACCAAGTTAGGTTATAAGTCATCTGTTGAATAGAACAATGTAAAGACCTCTTGATGTCCCTATTTACCAAGAAGACCATGTCCACTATCTCAAAGTGGTGGAGGACTTCTGCTTTTGCCCGGGGTTTCAATAGAAATAAAGGTTATATAAAGTCGGCTATAAAATCTTAGAGCCACGTACTGCGGTTGAAAGTGCATTGAAGTTAAACGGAAGATAATCGTCACAATGTTAAATGATTATTTTATCTTCTGACAATCTACTAAACCATAAATCGCCCTATATGTGCAGCTTTATAATCCAGCTTCATTGTGATGTGAGGCGTTAGTTTACCACTGAGGGCTTTTGGATCAATAATTAACAACATTTATTATGCCTTTCTGTCCGGGAAGTCCAACCAACACACAGGATGCAGTGATGAGTGCTGTACAAACACCTTTTTGTTTAAGAGCATAAATAACTTCATCCAAGGGCCATTTAAAGTGAGAATGAAGACCACACATTCTACAATGCTGTACTGCAAACAGAATTCTTAAGGACCCCTCACACGTTCTATATCCCTAAAATATAGACGTTTCTGAGCCAGTTAACGTAAAAATACTAATTTTGAGCCTTATTTCCTCCCATTATCTGTAAAACTGCTCTACAAGAAAACAGGTTAATCCTGTTTGTGTAGTTCACAGGAATCAGGCGCCAATTTATGGTTCATCAAATCAAATCAATCAAATCAAGTTTTATTTATATAGCACATTTTTAAAACGATTTTTGGTCGAGCCAAAGTACTTTACATATAATAATTACCTTACAGTAAGGACACTATACAGCAAATACAACAGCAAAGTTTGTGCAGAATATCAGTATGAGAAAACGACACCCTCTGTCCTTAGACCCTCACATCGTACAAGGAAACACTTCCAGAGAAAACCCACAGTTTAAAGGGGAAAATGGGAGAAACCTCAGGGAGAGCAACAGAGGAGGGATCCCTCTCCCAGGACGGACAGACGTGCAATAGATGCCGTGTGTTTGGTCCATGTTCTTTTGTGTTTTGTTCTTATATTCTCCTTATTTTTATAATGCCTACATATTTGTATATACATTTATCTGGGCATTTGCAATATGTTACATCTTGTTGGTTACACATTTTTTGAATGCAGACATGTGTAGACCTATTGCCCAAGCTCAATTTCCTCTCAGGGGAAATATCTTATCCAGTTTTAAGAGTAATTGCACAGGCATGCCTCTCATATCGCCTCATTGCATAACTTTGCTTAAAACAATCCTTCACCCTCAAAATATAGGTAAATTACTTCCATTTCTTTATGGAAAACCAAGATTGTGTACATTTGGCAACCAATTGAAACAGTTCAAAAGAAAGTGAACTTCTGAAGAACCTGTTGTCATTTGAAAAATATTCATACCTATGTATGGTGAGAACTTCCTCTTTCATGAACCCTTTCCGTGAACTCTGCCTCTTCCCACTCCCTTCTCTTCACGGTGATGTTATTAATGACAGGCAGAGGAATAAGCAGTAAACGAAAGTGAAAGGGTTGGAATGTGAATGAAGGGGCAGGGGAGAGGCATAAGAAGAACAGAGAGCAAAGGAATATCTCTCACTTCTGGATCATCGCAAATACACTAAGGTGAGTCCCTTCATATATTCATTTCTCTTAGTTTTACTTTTTATGGAGTTAGACTAAATGTACCCTACAAGATGTATTTGTTCCCCTCTTGTGAACACTGGCATCATCACTGACAGAGATCAGTTATGTGTTTTTGGTTAAAAAAAAGGAACCTAACTGCTTTATATAGAACTGATCTGTAATCTGTGTACAGTGCATTCAGCACTTTCACCATCCTGCCATCATTGCAATGTGGTTTCACTGGAAAGCCCTTTTTAGAGATTGAATTGTGTGGGAGAGAAACTTGGTAGAAAGAAAACAAACATCTTGAATATACTCAGATTAA